AAAATTAGTTTAAAAAAAAAAAAAAAAAAAAAAAAAAAAAAAAAAAACAATCCAGGAGTAAAAAAAAGAAGCCATTAATCAAAATTAGAATGTCTCAATTATGTTTTGCTTTATCAAATACGGTACTTTTAAAAAAAAATAGTTTGTAAAAAATGTTAAGAACTTAACTTATCATGTTAACAAGTTCATATTAAAAGCTATTGGCTAATATAAAAAATTTTAAACCCAATTTTGATTGAGCTAGCAGTGATCGTTGTTGATGAATAACTGAACACACACAAAATATCTTTCTGTGAGAAACATAAACCCTTTTGAGTATATTTGGAAGGAGGAATAATTTAAAATAAATGGGCATTCACTTATTTATCCAAGTGTGATGGGTATGGTGTAAACATTCACAGTAATAATATCATACAAGAAACTTCTAATATCCACAATTATTTGCCACAAAGCAAAATCTGTTTAGGAATGGTTAGACTGTAGAGATAAGATTAAAAAAAAAAGAAAGATATTATTAAAACCACATATATGCAATGGCCAATCACAATAGGCCAATTGGAAACAGGCCCAAAATTGAAGGAAATATAATTTCATTGAACAATCACAATTTAAACAGTTTCAAAAGCACATGTATAATGAAAGACAATGGTAAAAAGAAAGTTTTATCATATACTTAGACATACAACTTGAACAATAATGGGAGTAAGGAATCATCATAATGGGAATTTGTATGTTTATAATTTAAAAAATCAGATAATAAATTTGAATAACTAAATTTTAAACCATGAATATCATTTCTAAAGTTCATCGTTGTTGAGAGTTTGATTAACTGATTGGAATTCTGGCAACATCTCAACATATTTTATCACAGGTCAGGTCTACTTCTATAAATCTTGAAGTGAAAATAGGAGCCAAAATGATCAATAAATTGATCGTGGGCCCTTAAGATAGAGAAGAAGAAGAAAAGTTCAAATAATTGTGAGCCTTTATATCTCAAGCTCACTGTTGAATGTTTAATGTTACAATGTCAATGTGATGAATCCTCTTGTATTTACATGAAGACATAATTTGTTCATTCTGCACTTGTCATACCAGTATATACATTGAGACAACCAGGGAGAACTCAATAAAAGAAAGGTTCCCCTGTTTTCAATATTTAGGTGAAATAACAAATTAAAGATTACTTAATAAATATGAAGTTATTTTTTTAACTGTGGAAGGATGTTGTTGTTTTTTTTTTTTTTTGGGGGGGGGGTTTTTAGTGGTATCCATCATGAGATATTAGAGGTATCCATCATGGGATATTAGATGTATCCATAATATAATAAATATGAAGTTATTTTTTTAACTGTGGAAGGATGTTGTTGTTTTTTTTTTTGGGGGGGGGGATTTTAGTGGTATCCATCATGAGATATTAGAGGTATCCATCATGGGATATTAGATGTATCCATAATGAGATATTAGAAGTATCATCATGAGATATTAGAGGTATCCATCATGGGATATTAGATGTATCCATAATGAGATATTAGAAGTATCATCATGAGATATTAGAGGTATCCATCATGGGATATTAGAGGTATCCATCATGGGATATTAGAGGTATCCATCATGGGATATTAGAGGTATCCATCATGGGATATTAGAGGTATCCATCATGGGATATTAGTGGTATCCATCATGGGATATTAGAGGTATCCATCATGGGATATTAGAGGTATCCATCATGAGATATTAGTGGTATCCATCATGGGATATTAGATGTATCCATAATGAGATATTAGAAGTATCATCATGAGATATTAGAGGTATCCATCATGGGATATTAGAGGTATCCATCATGGGATATTAGATGTATCTATCATGGGATATTAGATGTATCCATCATGGGATATTAGAGGTATCCATCATGGGATATTAGAGGTATCCATCATGGGATATTAGAGGTATCCATCATGGGATATTAGATGTATCCATCAAGTGATATTAGATGTATCCATCATGGGATATAGAGGTATCCATCATGGGATATTAGAGGTATCCATCATGGGATATTAGAGGTATCCATCATGTGATCATAGTGCACTATACTAAAATCATGCTGTCTTGTTTAACACTGTGTGAAGCTGGATTCCATCACTTGATTAACAGTAAGAGTGGTACATTTATCAATAGCTGAAGCATTAAAAGTAAGTTAATCTACACTATTTGAGTCAAATAGCCTTAAAGACCAAGTGAATAACAACAACTCTGAAGTGACATTAACATCTACACACACAAACTTCGGCCTCAGCTTAACTAGGTACCGTAGATAAAGTGGTTGAGCATGCTGTGTTATAACCTACATGCTTTCTAGGAGTTACAGTTTCTTCTCAGGACAGATTATTAAAAAGACTGCACTCAATTCGTAGTCTTGCAACTATCAGCTGCTTGTGCAGTTCACGCCAGGCTCATCCAACAAGATGTTGATTCTATCAAGAGTACTTTGAGGCAGCTGTTTGATGAAAACCTTTGCCAGGCTGTCGGTTTTCTTCCGACCGGAAATAATGGCCAGAATGGTCAATGGACTGACCTTGTGCATGAAGCATCTCTCAACAAGGGCAAGATTCTCGGATGATACCCTGGCCCTATGCAACTGGTGATCGTATTCAGACACTGGGTAATTCCATTGGTTGGTGTAGTGTGCAGCAATGTCGAACCCCTGGAGCTGGAAGCTGTGGTGGACCAGATAAAATGTTTCAGCATCAGCCATAAACTTCCCGCTGCCGTTTGTGATTTCTGACAGACTTGCAAAGGTCGAGAAGCGTCTCATTTGATCCATGGAGTAGTGATCGTTAGCCATACTAGAAGTGTTGAGTCCTGCAGTGAGGCCATCTTGTGTTGTGATATTTCCATTGTCCTGAGGATGGGCGAGAGACTTGTAGATGGCTTTTTGAAATGCCGTATCCACCTCACACATGACTTCTGTAGATCTCCTCCTAAACTTTGGTGGAATTTGAGTTGTTCCAGAATCAACAAGGTTTCCATTTCTAATAATTCTCTCATTTTGATCTGATTAGAAATTAAAAAATTGTTTTAGTGCCTTTATAAAATATGAAAAATGCATCTGCAAACTATATATGAATTAGTTTGATTTGGTGAAAGCATTTTTCTTTTGGATGTTTTTTTGGAAATCTTTTGAAATTCCATGAACCATGTACCTGCCAAAATCCATGTACCTGCCAAAATCCATGTACCTGCCAAAATCCATGTACCTGTCAATGCACATGTGCTTGCCACCGCACATGTACCTGCCACCACACATGTACATGCCACCACCCATGTACCTGCAAAAATCCATGTACCTGTCACCGCACATGTACCTGTCAATGCACATGTGCTTGCCACCACCCATGTACCTGCCACCACACATGTACCTGTCACCACACATGTACCTGTCACCACACATGTACCTGTCACAACCTGTGGAGCTACCACCACATGTGTACCTGCCCCACACATGTACCTGTCACCCTCCCATGTACCTACCAACACTCTTGATAAATTTAGTTATGTAATCTCCTAGTTACCTTGAGTTTGGGTTAGATTGCAAGGCATACCTTCAATCACTTCTTGTTTTGGGGAGACATTGTGAGATACTTGATCCACATCGAGAGTTGGGGTGACAGACGGAGACATTGTATTAACATCCTGTGTTGGACTGACAGATGGAGACATTGTATTCACATCCTGTGTTGGAGTGACAGATGGAGACACTGCGTCCACCTCCTGTGTTGGGGTGACACTCAATGACCGACCACTTGCATCTGACAGGCTGTCCTGATCACTGGGGCTAACTCCACCCCTTGAGTTGCGATACTCCCAATCAGTTCCTGTACTGTGAAGGCTGAGCTCAGGGTACGGACTGACTCCATCTCTACTGTAAGAAGGAGAACTTCTAGAGTCTGGAAAAGTTACATGAATTCCTTGAAAGCAAGCAGTATTTGTATTTCTGTGTTGAGCATCAAGTGTCCCACAACAGTTTTATATGACATCCATCCAAGGAGCCAAAAGTTATTTTTTCAAAGCTAGCTATTCTAAACCAGTGGTTCTCAAAGTGGGTGATGGGGGTGGTGAAATTTTGACTTAAAATTCTGCCATGTTTATAAGTTATGGGGATAAGCTTGATCAAGTTATGCTTGCTAATGATATACCTCAGTGATGAATCTTATAAAGACAAGACTCAGTGTCAGGAGGATCTCTTTTGATGGAAATTCCTCTTATGATAATGACTAATTTTAAATACTTGTGCAGTTTGTAAAGCAAAGAGATGCTTAAGCCATAGGATGATAATGAGCTCAAGACAATGTTAAAAAAATCATAGCAAGAGTTTTGGCCACAGAGGGGATAAGCCCTTTGCTATTTTGAACTGTGAACTGTAGTTTTTTTTTTTAATTTTACCAAATGTACCAGGTAATATCTAAAACTCTTGCTCACTGATTATAAGAGTTTAAAAAGCTACCATCACTGACGTAAGCTACCATCACTGACGTAAGCTACCATCACTGAAGTAAGCTACCATCACTGAAGTAAGCTACCATCACTGAAGTAAGCTACCATCACTGAAGTAAGCTACCATCACTGAAGTAAGCTACCATCACTGAAGTAAGCTACCATCACTGAAGTAAGCTACCATCACTGAAGTAAGCTACCATCACTGAAGTAAGCTACCATCACTGAAGTAAGCTACCATCACTGAAGTAAGCTACCATCACTGAAGTAAGCTACCATCACTGAAGTAAGCTACCATCACTGAAGTAAGCTACCATCACTGAAGTAGGCTACCATCACTGAAGTAGGCTACCATCACTGAAGAAGGCTACCATCACTGAAGTAAGCTACCATCACTGAAGTAAGCTACCATCACTGAAGTAAGCTACCATCACTGAAGTAAGCTACCATCACTGAAGTAAGCTACCATCACTGAAGTAAGCTAATATTTATGATTGAATTTATTAAACTAAAATGTTTCACTTGGGATTCGATTAAAAGTTCAGTAATATGTTATTTTATACATTTTATTTTATCTACCTCGGACGGTCATGCAAACTGCTATACTTATCTATCTAATGCTTTTTATACAGTTTGATAGGTTGACCTGAATCCTTTGTGAGAAACCAATCCATTGAAAAGTTTGATTGGCTTACAGTTACAGGAATACTTTGTGAGAAACCAATCAATTGAACAGTTTGATAGGTTGACATGAAAAACTAAATATGAAGTTGTGAAATAGTATAAAAATGCCGTGTTTTGTTTGACTGTAGAAATCAATAACCAGTTAGACCCAAAGATAAATTAATATAAAAATAAATACTTGTAGGTTTTGATTTACGTCATCTAGTCTATTTTTACATGGCACTCTAAAATTCGAAACGGATCTTCACATTCAAGTGACTTTGACACCTGTCATGTCATCATGTAAAGTTATGTAAACAGTAACAAAAACATGAAAGAATTCATTGTATAGTTTTAGCCACCAAAGCCTTAAGACACATTAACACTATGCATCTGGAATGAATAGTTTTAGCCACTAGAGTCCTAAGACACATTAACTATTTGCACATGACCTGACTTACTGAAAAATTCTGTATCCAAGTCCACTATAAAATTCTGGTCCAGCAAACTCTGGCAGATGGCTGTAGCGGACTCCTTGGTCAGTGGCTCTGATGGCAATACCATGTCTGACCAGGAGAGAGGAGAGAAAAACAGACCAAGTCAAATCATTCAAACAATGAAATGTCGCACTAACCTACACATTTTTCCTTTGATAAAAATACAGGTACCAACAATGAAAACAACATCTAGGTAAGATTAAAAATACCAAAAGTTCAAGTTTCTTTAAAGAGATAGTTATCAAGCATCCAGAAGTTCAATATTTAAATGAACAGGTGCTGGTCAAGTATTTCTCAACACAACTGAATTCCTGCGTCATAATCATTGTTTCAATTTATGTTGTTATATTGTCACAAGTTCCAATAATACATTTAATTTTGCTGGCCAAACGTTTCTTTGAAAAAAGCCAAGCCGTCCTTAAATGTAGAGAACAATTTAAATTTCAGCACCACCAAAAATGATTCTTAAAAAATAAACAGAACTTAACACCCCTCCCACTTCCACAGATTAATGATACATTTATTGACCTAATTTCAATGGATTATCTTACAAAAAAGATGGATACGTACCTGCAGGCAAAGCATCCCTATTTTTTAAGATCCATTTCACCAGTTCGGCACCACTAAAACACTTGCGCAATGACTGAAGCTCTTTGAAGATCTTGTGAATGATGGCTGGCGGTCTTTTCGTGTCAACATTTTCCCAGCTTGTGTTTTCCCCTTCAGTCGACTGATGAATCATGAAAGTACAATAGAAAACACTATCTCTATCATGTCTTTACAGGTCAGACCATGTCACTATAGGTCAGACCATGTCTCTATAGGTCAGACCATGTCTCTATGGGTCAGACCATGTCTCTATAGGTCAGACCATGGCTCTATAGGTCAGTGTCTATGGTCCCTTTTTGTATCAATGGCACATTTAGAAATTTGTGACACACCTACCTAGATCTGATATAGGTAAAATACACCTGCCAGTGCACACCACATTGGCTGCACCACATCTATCAATCCTTCTACACCACATTGGCTGCACCACATCTATCAATCCTTCTACACCACATTAGCTGCACCACATCTATCAATCCTTCTACACCATACTAGCTGCACCACATCTATCAATCCTTCTACACCACATTGGCTGCACCCCATCTATCAATCCTTCTACACCACATTAGCTGCACCACATCTATCAATCCTTCTACACCATACTAGCTGCACCACATCTATCAATCCTTCTACACCACATTGGCTGCACCACATCTATCAATCCTTCTACACCACATTGGCTGCACCACATCTATCAATCCTTCTATCTAGAAAAACCCTGTGAAACATCCTACTTGTTTATTTCATTTTCAGTCAAATGTTCATTTCATGTTCAGTCAAATGTTCATTTCATGTTCAGTCAAATGTTCATTTCATGTTCAGTCAAAAGTTAATTTCATGTTCAGTCAAATGTTCCTTTCACGTCAAATCAAATGTTCATTTCATGTTCAGCCAAAAGTTCATTTCATGTTCAGTCAAATGTTCCTTTCACATTCAGTCAAATATTCATTTCATGTTCAGTCAAAAGTTCATTTCATGTTCAGTCAAATGTTCCTTTCACGTTCAGTCAAAAGTTCATTTCATGTTCAGTCAAATGAGCATTTCACATTCATTTCATGTTCAGTCAAATGTTCATTTCATGTTCAGTCAAATGTTCATTTCATGTTCAGTCAAATGTTCATTTCACGTTCAGTCAAATGATCATTTCATGTTCAGTCAAAAGTTCATTTCATCTTCAGTCAAATGTTCCTTTTACGTTCAGTCAAATGTTCATTTCATGTTCAGTCAAATATTTATTTAAATGTTCAGTCCAACATTCTGTAAATTTTAACAAAAAGTCAACTCACATATTCTCGTAAACTTTGACATAGAGCCACCAAGTGTACGGTTGACAAAGTGTGAAGCTCCAGCTCCAAGAGGACATAACTCTGAACAGAATATTAGATAAATTTGTATCAGAATTCATTGGGATGAGATCATGTCAAGGATAAACTTAGTCAAAATTTAAAAACATATACATTGTGATGGCATTATAAAAATTTCCCATTCTCTTATCTCCCCTCACTCTCCATGAGCTCCCTCTCTCTCCCTGCTCCCCTGAAATGCTCACTGAGCTCCAAATCTATCCCTGAGCCTCCCCCTTCTCTTTCCTCCCCCTTTGTCTCCCTGAACACCTCCTCTGTCTCCCTGAGCTCTAGTCTCTCTCCCCATCTGTCTCCTTGAGCTCCCCCTCTCTATCCCCCTGATCTTCCCTCTCTCACTAAGCTGTCCCTCTATTTCCCTGAGCTTCCCCTCTCTCCCACTCTACATGGCTACACATAGTCAGCACGTCGCCCAAACTTTGAAACTTCTTATCTACTGCTACCAAATAAAAACCAGTTAAAATTTTTGTTTCATTCATGAGCTCCAAAATTATCCACTAACCTTAAAAATATTTGATGACAGTGTTAGACAAAAAAAATCTTAGTTTTTAAATGACAAGTTAAATTTTATGAGGATTGGATATCACTAAATTACAATATACACATATATAAGAAATTGATATTCTAAAAAAACTACTTTGAAAAGTATAATTATTTTATTTGATAAAGTCAAATGAAGATGAAATAACTCACGGCTTGGGCAAGTAGCAGGTCCCTGTTTATTCCTTGGCCACCATTGTTCATAAAGGTCATGAAATGCTGTGGAAATAACAGCTAAATATAGATGGGGAATACCATACAGGAATGGGCAGAATTGTTTGTGACTTTAATCTTAGATTGAAGAGGAGGCATAATGACAGTATAGGATGTGGAGTATATATTTATAACTTGGCTGCGAATGGCAGCTGGCCACATGGAGATTACAACTTTAGACGCCCTGGAAATTTCAGAGATAGAAAACAAAAATTATTTGAAAAATAGTTTTGTGAAGATTCATCCCCTAGGTGAATGCTACCATTGGTGTAACATCACTACACCTGTTACCACTATGGTAGCTAACTTTAACCATAGTCCATAGTTATTAGGATAAAGGTTATCTTACACTTATAACAAGCATCCACATCTGAGCCTGGGGGCTAGAAGGTGGTTCACATCTCAACAACTTAGCTGTGTGTGACTCAATGTCCTAGTGCAAATAACAAACATGAAAATAAACATTGGAAAATTTCAAGGAGAACAAAAATAAAATAAAAACTAGAAAATAAAATTGAGGATGAAATATCCCTTTTCAAATCTTTTGGGTATTCCCTATAAACTACAATTCTGGGTATACTAAGGTTAAAGTCAAAATTATTGAGAAAAAATAATATTCCCACCCAAAGGTATCATACTGCTCTTAGGTAGCTTCGGCATATACCTACCATACATTTGTCTCGTTTGTTATTTTCCAATTTTCTACAATAGTTTCTTTCAATAAAAATTAAGCAAAAGTTAAAATATCACTACAGACTTGAAATTAAACCAATTTGAATATAAATCACAGGTAATAAATACACTTCTTTTTACCTGCACAATGTAAACCCATATGTTTTCCAAGACTCTCCGGAAGCAGTCGCGATAGAGCCAGGTGCTGAAGGAATCCAGATGTTTTTGAAGGAATGTGGTGACCGGTGCTAGACTTTCAGCTATAGTAGAGTGAGTGTCTTTCTTTCTGAGCACGAGTGGCAGGGCATCTTTCACAAACAAGTTTAACTAAAAATAATTGGAAATTGGTGTAAGTAGAATTAAGGGATAATTTGTAAAGGTAAAGAAGCTGTGGGGAATAGTTGAAAGAAGAGAGGAGAAGAGCTGAAAGAAGCTGTAGGCTATGGTTGAAAGAAAAGAGGAGAAGAAAGTAAAGAGAAGCATTACAAAACCACAACAATCAGGAACATTATATAGCCAACCATTGCTGTATCTGGCTTAATAGTTTAGAGGTTTTTACCAAGTTTTCTTTGGAACCAAGACATGTTGAATGTGTTGTGTCTGCTTTGACAGGTGGACTCAAGACGTGTTGAATGTGTTGTGTCTGCTTTGACAGGTGGACTCAAGACGTGTTGAATGTGTTGTGTCTGCTTTTGACAGATAATATGTTGGTTTTTTATCGCGAGAAACAGTGGTTACATGGATTGTTGGAACATCATTGGCAGTAACCAAGGCAACGTCATATGCGCCATATTGGTAAAAATTGATAGGCCATCTTGTAAACAAATGGCAAGATCAAAACAACCATTCAAAGACAAAACGGCTACAGGAGTGTCCCTGATCTTGGAGAGGACAAACGAGAACTCCGTTTAAACAAAAATCCAAGACTCTGTCCTCACTTAAGAACTCCACAGTTATTCTTACCGCACAATTACACGCCAAATTGCTTGCTACAGACTAATTTTAAGGCACAACGGAAAACTCAAAAAAGCAGAGAACCTGCTCAATACATAGGAGAGGAAAGAACATATTCAGGAAAATACATGGCCCATTGATAGACAATGATATTTGAAGAATCTGTCACATACCAATAGGTACATTAATTCTACAAAGACCCACCCATAGCCGTACAAACCAATAGATACATCAATTCTACAAAGACCCACCCATAGTCGCAACAATAAAAAAGGCTGAATGCGCTGGAAAGAATGCCAGATTGTAGAGTAGGAAAATTGATATACAGGCAGAAACCTAAGGGTAGATGGGTCACCGGTTGACCACGACTAAGACGGACTGACGATGAAGAGAAGGAAGTACTTCAGCTGAGGGTCCAAGCATGAAGCTGGAAAGCTGTGGATCGATCCCAATGAATGGATGGGGTGGAGCAGGCCAGGGCCCTAATGATGATGATAGACGTGATTGATTTGAAGGGCGTAATGTCAATAAACAGGTGAGTGTGTGTAGATGTTGGGAGCACAGTGAGCTTTGGCAGTGTCCAGTTAGTTCCTTGAAGGGCTCGGTAGTTCATCGGTGTTCAGCAGTGAGACAACCCACTGTTTGAGATGGTTGCTTGATAAGATTGTTGGTTGATGAGATTGTCAGTTGATGAGATTTTTTTACTGATTGAGATTGTCGGTTGATGTGATTGTTACTAACGTTTTGTTGTGAACTCATTATGCAGACTTGTGATGAAAGAAGAACCGTTACAGTTGCTGATTTTACACCCCAGACACTGATGCAACAGTCAAAGACGAGTTTTCAAAATTTTACAGAAGAAGATTTCAAAACTATGATTGGGAAACTTAGAGAAATTTTGGTTGAAAAATGTTTGAAATGGTAACTATCCAACAATATAAGCAATGTCCGTGTCTAGTGTATAAAATGTTTCAACAAATTTTTTTTTAATAATATGATCAAAAATAACTGTTGGTGACTATATTATTTTTAAACAATTTCTTTACCTTGAAGGCCAGCAGGCGACACATCCCACATAGAACTGACATCAGGTGTTGCCTTGTCATTTCCTTAACTTGAAGGGATTCTTGGAACCAGTAGGAGTGTAGCTGAGGGTCACTGCTGGTCTTCAGGTCATGCAAGCTCTCTTCATCATTTAATGATTCTGGCCAGTAACCTAGACAGTTGTTATGTAATGCAGTCATCCAATACCACTAAAAACATTTACTTAACAGTGGTTTCAAAAAATTAATTTTTGGCTTTGGATGTTGGCTCTGGATGTTGGCTTTGGATGTTGGCTTTGTATGTTGGCTTTGGATGTTGGCTTTGGATATTGGCTTTGGATGTTGGCTTTGGATGTGGCGTTAGGTTTTCAATTATTCCTCTTAAAATACTATTCTGGAAAACATTGTATGTAAGGTTGAATATAATTAGGTCAGTGAGATGAGGCTATAGAATTAGTGAAAAGTCATAGGTCAGTGAGATGAAGCTATAAAATTGTTGAAAAGTCATAGGTCAGTAAGATGAGGCTATAGCACAAGTGAAAAGTCATAGGTCAGTGAGATGAAGCTATAGAATTAGTGAAAAGTCATAGGTCAGTGAGATGAAGCTATATAATTAGTGAAAAGTCATAGGTCAGTGAGATGAAGCTATAGAATTAGTGAAAAGTCATAGGTCAGTGAGATGAAGCTATAGAATTAGTGAAAAGTCATAGGTCAGCGAGGATGAGGCTTTTGTGATAAACATGATTTTATTCAAGATGGCAAGAGGTATGTGTGCTTATTAAAACAAATGTGGTTAAAAGCAAAATAATTTTTGTAATATTATAGATTCAGGAACAATTCTAAGTTTACCATTTTTTAAAACTGGAATGGATGAATTTTGGCCACAGTTTGCTCCATCCGATGGCGGACAACTGTCTACAGCCATGACTTCCTTTAACTTCACATGATATACCTCCAGCGTGTGCAGGCAGGCAAACACGTTGTTGATTCTGGTACACATGTGCTGTGTTATTGGCTCATGGCGCTCACTGAGATACTGTGCCTTACGATTGTGATAGTAGAGACAGGGGTGAGTCTTCTCCACCTGATGTCTGCAGCTCCACACGAGACCAGCCTTCTGGTAAATATCTATTGCCTCAATCAACTTGTGGAGAGAAGAAAAATATAAAAAAATTGTCAGCTGTGCAGTAGTTATTTGTGAGAATATGATCAAGTCTGCAGATTTTAAGGGAGACAAACATTAAAATAGACGAAAGAGTTGTTTCCTTACTTTTTGACCAATAAGTCGCCTTGAAGCATTTTTAGGTGTGGCGCACAAGTCCATGCACAACATATTGATGGAGTATGTGGTCAGTAGATGGCACATGGTCTGTAACATAAGAATAGAAATTGGGTTTACCTTATAGTTGACCTGATCAGAAAGAAAGAGTTATAATCATGTGACCCATCTCACTCATATTTCTAAAAAGATTAATAAGCAATAAATGTCATTACCAGTCTTGTCTATGTCACCCTGGCCATATCTCTCACAGATGCTGGCATTAATGTAGCACTCAGGGCCGGCCCTAACAATTGAGGGGCCCAGTCTGGGTAGTGATAAGGATAATAAGCGAAAATTAAGATTTTGTATTAGAAAATAAATTCGTCTTTGCATTTTATTTAATTAGCGCGGGGGCTATGAAAGTGCTGGGCCAGCTGCGATCGCATAGGTTGCAGTGGCCTAAGGCCGGCCCTGGTAGCACTGGCCACATCTCTCACAGATACTGGCATTAATGTAGCACTGGTCACATATCTCATGGATGCTGTCATTACTGTAGCACCAGACCTGTTTACCCTCAAACTCTAAAAATCGTACAATATCATCACAAAATCGTTCAATACATTATCTTAATAGTAAAAAATAAATATACAGTAAATGTGATGTATACACCTCAAAATCATACATTGTACGCCAAAATTGTAAAAGTAAACAGATCTGTAGCACTGTTCACATATCTCACGGATGCTGGAATTACTGTAGCATGGTCAAATCTCTCACAGATGCTGTCATTACTATAGCTGTGGTCACATATCTCATGGATGCTGTCATTACTATTGCTCTGGTCACATATCTCATGGATGCTGTCATTACTATTGCTCTGGTCACATATCTCATGGATGCTGTCATTACTATTGCTCTGTTCACATATCTCATGGATGCTGTCATTACTCTAGCTCTGGTCACACATCTCATGGATACTGTCATTACTGTAGCAATGGTCACATTGTGATAGTTGGGGGCTGGACATCATCAAATTTTTCCACCATAAACTCGCCCTGTAAAATAATACCCATCTTCCCCCCAGTTTGCCATTGCAGTAGGATAACCCAAGTAATCTCCCTTGTTATTATTGGATTCAGACGTGTGACAGTTCAAGCAAAATCGTGATTAGGATTCAGCCCTTCTCCCCTATAATTTTTCTGGGTGAAAGGTTGAACCTGTAATATTAGACTGATTGTCATTGGATGGGAAAACAAACAACTTTTAACCCAATTAATTAAAAGCATGACCCAACTTCAAACACTAGCAGGAGCAGACTAGAATCTGTCTTTTTATGATCCTTTCACGCTGTAGCCTACTATACTTAGGACTTCACAGATGCTAGCATTAATGTAGCACTGGTCACATCTCTCACAGATACTGGCATTATTGTAGCGCTTGCTACATCTCTCACACATGCTGGCATTAATGTAGCACTGGCCACATCTCTCACAGATGCTGGCATTAATGTAGCACTGGCCATATCTCTCACAGATTATTTCATTAATGTAGCACTTGCCACATCTCTCACAGATGCTGGCATTAATGTAGCACTAGCCATATCTGTCACAGATTGTTTCATTAATGTAGCACTGGTCCCGTCTCTCACAGATGCTAGCATTAATGTAGCACTGGTCACATCTCTCACAGATGCTGGCATTAATGTAGCACTGGTCACATCTCTCACAGATACTGGCATTATTGTAGCACTTGCTACATCTCTCACAGATGCTGGCATTAATTAAATTATGTGTCATGCACATTTCTCATTGATATATGATCAGAAATTCTATGTTTTAGTGAAATAGATGGGACAAATTAAAAAACCCACTGTGCCACCCAATCCATATATCCACTCAACCTTTCTTTCAGTCAAAAGGATAATAATCCACTGACCGTCTAATTTTTTACGCCCGCTATTAAAAAATACAACTGAATCTCCTAGCAAAGTGAATGTTACATATATTTTTGCTTCACTTGACTTCATCTCACTGAAAACATTGAATTAAGCCTTGTTATATGTTCACTCGTCCAGTTAACTTACTGTGGCCCACCCATAAGTTACCCAAAAATATATACAAGTTATTTAAATGACTATTTTCAATTTTTATAATTACCTTTTGTAGATGCAAATGTAGCAGACATTTATATCTGTTGAACTGCAGTTTGGGGTCACAGCTTTCATTGCCAGGTGCACCTACATCATTGCCTGATGCCCCGACATCACTGCTTGGTGCACCTGCATCAATGCCTGTTGCACCTACACCAGTGCTTGGTGCACCTACATCACTGTCTGGTGCACCTACATCATTGCCATCATTAACGTCATCCTCACAACTGCTCACAGAGATTAGTGTGGCACTTGTCAGTCTCTTTCCACTCAAGGACGAACAAGGTAATAGATTTGACTTCTGAATAGGTATGAAATTTCCATCCGTGTAACTTGAAGTCAATCCACTGGATTCTATTTTTTTGGATGTAGCAGTAGCTTGAGAACCCACAACGTCTCTTTTAGTTGAGGCGCTACTACGCCGCCTTGAGGTTTTCTCCTCCCGTTCAAGTGGGTCAGTTGAGAGCTGTCTCGATGTCTGACCACTGGACGGAGTCAAACCAAAGTTGAAGACTGTGGTGACCAGACTGTTTGAGAAGCCACAAATTCGTTGTAAGATCACCAGGAGGTCCATCACTGACTTAGATACAGGTAGGATGGCCTGGACTGTCTCTGCGGGGAGTAGGAACGAAGTCTGAGAATCTCCTGAACATATAAACCCTGGGTGTGTTTGAGTTGCTGGAGCCCGCAAGGAGACGGCCGAGCTGCCGAAATAAAGACTGGTTGATATGTTGGTTCCTGGAGGCTCCCGTTGGTTCAGGCACTCATCAAAAAAGGGTGCAGAGAACACTGGTTTGGATAAGTCGGTGGGTAAGTATTTGGAATTCTGTGATACCCCATCCATGGATGACACCTTAGGCTTCTTGGAGATAATCTTAAGAGGGGGATACTGGAATACTTCATCTTCACTATCATTACTGACACCATCTTCATTGTACTCTGAAGTTGATGGACTCGCAACAGAAATCCTAGAGCCTGACTGTTGATGACCATTTCTACCAAAACCTTGCATGTTATCTTGATCGCGCACTGGCCCAAATTGGTGAACATTTTGTTCATATTTACCAATGCAATTTAAATTCTCTGGTAAAGATGACTTGGAACAGTTTGAAATTTTGAAAAAATTTCCTGAAGACCCCTCCATCTCCATATTGAGTGAGACTGAATCATATTTGGGTTTTCGTTTACTTTTCACGTAAAGGACGCTGTCACTGCTTTCCAATGGCGCTGAATCATGGGTGAAAAACTCAACCGGCTCTTCACACTCTTGGGTACTAACCTACGATAAAATGGGCAGACATGATAAAAAATTGAATTCTTCAAGTTAAACCACTATTTATAATTGGAGATTGCGCATGGGAGATAAGTCAGGAATGGGAAATTAATTCAAATTAATGATACAAAAAAAAGGATCTTATAATTATACATTCTCAAACGGCAGTGTCAACCGTCAAGCCAACTGTCATGATAAAAGTTATGCTCCCAGTCATGCCCACAGTCATGCTAACAGTCATGCTAACAGTCATGCCAACAGTCATGCCATCAGTCATGCCAACAGTCATGCCATCATTCATGCCAACAGTCATGCCATCAGTCTGCCATCAGTCATGCCATCAGTCATGCCATCAGTCATGCCATCAGTCATGCCATCAGTCATGCTAAAAATGTGCCACAGCTATGAATAGGCATTGAACTTTGTGATGAGCAGTAGCTTTACATGAAGCCCCAGCTCGTCAAAGACATGTCAGACTTGACCGTTCGTGGTTCACATGATCATTGACATTACACTGCAAGGTCATTTCTTTGGTTAATACAGGGGTCAGCACCCTTTTTTAAGTGAGGGGCAATTTTTTGAAAGTATATCTTGTAAGAAAATATTTAGTGCGCTCCAGCAATGGCTGGATTGTTTACATGTCATTAGAGGTCAGTAAACAAAAACAACTCCATCTTTTCGCTCAAGACGCAGCATGCGGCTCACGAGAAGTGGATTGCTGATCACTGGTTGATTTTTCATAAATTTTACTCTCTATTCCAATTAGCAGGTGAAAAGTTTATCTAAAGATAAATGTAATTAATCAAAATATAAAATGTCCATCAGGTTTACTGATTTGCATGAACTTTTATTGTGATTAAAGATTTACCAAATGAAATGAGGACAAAGTACAGCTGAAGAAGAAAAATGAACTACAGAAAAAATTATTGACCCTTAACTTAGATTTACCAGGTGAGGAGTGGATCTCACTAATGATATGATGCTACTGAAGGCGCTGTTGACGGAGGGAGATAGAGAGTTCACCGAGAATGTACAGCTCTTGCGATGGACCCGGTACTCAAAATTTACCTCCTCAGCTTGGCTTTAGACTAAAAAATGTGCATCTCCTGCAAACCCAACCATTTTATTTTCAAGTACACTTTAAGTATAAATTATTTAATTCATTCTTATTTTGATTAAGAAAAATTAAAATTTATTATCCTTAACAGAATGTAAATCAAACCAATGACTTACATCTTTTCTTATTTTTACTATTATGCGCATGTACTCAATAAGTACGGACAAATTATTTTAAAAAACCTTCTCATAATAACTACCCACATGATGAAAGTCCCCCCAAGGCTCACAACCGGACATTTTTGCACACTATATTAATATTCTAATGACCCACCCGCTTTTACACCGAAGATTTATTTCACAAACTATTTCAGAAAAACAAAAGAAAATATTAAGCACCAAACGCACTTGTGATATTTTTTTTAATGAATCTAATTTAGCAGTTATTTGGAAATTTTACTTCATCTTCCCCTTGACAAACAGGAAAAATTGATTTTTTGGGAGATTGGGTTGAAAATTTGAAAGAATGTGTTGTCATGGGCATCGAGTCTTTGTGCCAAGTTTCAGCTTGATAGGTTGACAGGAAGTAGGTCAATTAGCCATCCAAATATTTTGCCTGTCCACCACCAAGCCACAAACAAAAGCAAATTTAATATAAAGGATTTAAAGATAATAGTATTGCTTGTTGACGGCTAAAGCTTATGTGACATTCATGACACAGATTTGACACCATTTCTCTGTGACAACCCAGTCTCAACCACCCAGAGCTTAAAAAACAACATATCTCCAACTCACAACATCATTAGACACCGCCTCCACCACAAAGTTCTGCATGTGAGTCTGCAACACCTGACACCATTGGAACAAGCAGGGCAGGAAACATCTCCGCCACGTCTGCTGCCTGGACAGGGAAAGGAGTAAAAAAATGTATAATTACAACGAAAAGGGAATCTAGTCATATAGTTACCATACGGGAATCTAGTCATATAGTTACCATACGGGAATCTAGTCATATAGTTACCATACGGGAATCTAGTCGTATAGTTACCATTTCTTTAAATGTTCTTAGCCTTAAACATGACATTATGACATTCTTAAAAGATATTGATATAAAACTTATGTCACACACTAAATTAATTTATGAAAGTATTTAATGATATGAAAATAAAGGCCTAGAATTTCAGCATAATCTTCTCTTTCGGTCATACTCAATAGATAATTACTAGTATGTACATCAAGTATCAGAGAATATCTCATCAACTCTTTGACTCTCCATTGGTAAACGGCTGGATAGAAATAGCGATGTTAAACCAAATCTTTACACTGCTTTGGCTTTTTTGCACGATTATAAATCTGTACAATCGGCCCAGGGGAAAAGTCCAGTAAATCAGCCAGTCAAAGGGCTACATGGAATTTTATCATAGCAGACAAAACTCATGGCATTACTGCCAAAGGGTAACATTGAGATCAAATTGTTACGACACTCAAGGGTAACACTGAGATCAAATTGTTACGATACTCAAGTGTACACTGAACTCTGAGATCAAATTGTTAAGGCACTCAAGGGTAACACTGAGATCAAATTGTTAAGACACTCAAGGGTAACACTGAGATCAAATTGTTACGATACTCAAGTTGTACACTGAACACTGAGATCAAATTGTTAAGGCACTCAAGGGTAACACTGAGATGGAATTGTTAAGACATTCAAGGGTAACACTGAGATGGAATTGTTAAGACATTCAAGGGTAACACTGAGATGGAATTGTTAAGGCACCCAAGGTAACACTGAGATCAAATTGTTGACACCCTCAAGGGTAACACTGAGATCAAATTGTTGAGACCACCATAGGTAATACCGAGATCAAATTGTTAAGACACCCAAGGGTAACACTGAGATCAAATTGTTAAGACACTCACTGAGGTAAGATGTATAGCTTCCAGTCCTCATCCAACTTATTGAGTCTGTACATAATGGCCACCAACTGGAGCTCAATGACGGGGGATGTCTGTTAAAAATAATCATTACTGCAACTGATCAATACATCATGGCACTGTCATGGCACAGCCAGAATGTTACATTAAACTTGGCACAGCTGTGCACTTCATGTTTCAAAACAATCAAATAAAATATTAACATAAAATTATGGAACAGTTTGCCTCAATCTTTGAGGGGAATTGTAAATGATAAAAAAAAATCATGTAAGAAACAATTAAAAACTTTTTTGTTTTAATAGATTTAGGAGGACCAGAGTGCAGTGAGCATGCTAAAATGGCATGGATACCGGCACGATATAAATATCAAATCAATCAATCAATAAAATTAAATTTTAAAAAACCCTCAGCGTGGCTGGCTGTGATGTAAATATAATAGTGTTATTGAAAGGGGAATACATTTATTTTAATGAACTTTTTAACAATTATCATTCTTGAAGTTCCTGAGTAACAGAAAGGTATTATTTCGAAATTTGTGAAATTATTTAATGGAACTTTTGAAATGTGTTTCGGCTGAAGGAATTTACATTTGAAAGATTGTATAAACAGAATGAGATCAAACTTCATTCTATGTTTATGGATGAAGGCAATGATGAAGTTTACAGTAATACAAGTGGACACGTGGCTTCAACAGTTGGCCTACAGACAGTCATTTTATGCTAGCAATACAAGGGGACCAGTGGCTACAATACAGTAGGCCTGCTAACAGTAACTTAATGCTAGCTCTCCACTGACAGTAACTTAATGCTAGCTCTCCACTGACAGTAACTTAATGCTAGCTCTCCACTGACAGTAACTTAATGCTAGCTCTCCACTGACAGTAACTTAATGCTAGCTCTCCACTGACAGTAACTTAATGCTAGCTCTCCACTGACAGTAAAATAATGCTAGCTCTCCAGTGACAGTAACTTAATGCTAGCTCTCCAATGACAGTAACTTAATGCTAGCTCTCTACTGACCTGGTAACGAGTGTGGTACCCAGTGAACCGCTCCACATCCTCCATAAGAAACTCATAGAAGGATGACGCAGCCATCTGACTCACATAACAAAATCTGTGAAATGATACACAATTAGCTGACGCAGCCATCTGACTCACATAACAAAATCTGTGAAATGATACACAATTAGCCTAACTATTTAAGGACCTATGAAGGCATGTTGTCACGGGTTGGGTCCTTCACTCAACAACCATAGAACACAAACACATCTCTAGCCCCTACAAGATTGACATACAATCAACAACCATAGAAAACAAACACATCTCTAGTCCCTACAAGATAGAAATACAATCAACAACTATAGAAAACATACACATCTATAGTCCCTACAAGACTGACATACAATCAACAACTATAGAAAACAAACACATCTCTAGCCCCTACAAGATTGACATACAATCAACAACCATAGAAAACAAACACATCTCTAGTCCCTACAAGATAGAAATACAATCAACAACTATAGAAAACAAACACATCTTTAGTCCCTACAAGACTGACATACAATCAACAACCATAGAAAACAAACACATCTCAAGTCCCTACAAGATTGACATACAATCAACAACCATAGAAAACAAACACATCTCTAGTCCCTACAAGATTGACATATACTCAACAACCATAAATAACAAACACAACTATAGATGTGTAATGAAGATAACGAATTGAATTCTGAAGTGGCAGGATCCGAATCAGTAATAATGGATGGGAGATAACCATTTTTTAACACACCCAAAGTGGATAACTCATTTGTTTTGTTTTTAAAATTACTCAGGTTTTGCATGTGGCCTCTTCATGTCACACATTATCATTGCCCCACAGGGCAGTTAGAAAAATAACCCTAATATAAGCAGACACTCATAATTTATATTATCATGCACTGGTGCTGTCTCAGCTAACTTTAGTTTCAGAAAAGGTGTGCAAAAAAGGAACATGCATAAAAAGTTGACATTATTCTGTGTGTGACAGGACTCTGTGATGTGACGACCTCTGCCCTCTGGTCAATACTATTAGAGCCAGGAGTTAATAATCAAGTACTTCGTGATGTGGCTGTAGTAAAAAAGAGATTTCCAATAGTTCATGCTAAAGCTCTTGTTGATGTGGTAGCAAATTATTTTCTACTTACTGCATAAAACTTCCATCAAAGTTATTCCTGTAGTCAGAAACATCTTCTCTGATGTCTTCAATGAGAACACTCAACTTGAGGGATCAAAGGGATCAAAGGAATTAGAATTAATTATAAAAATACCATCTTAACAATTGTTGTTTCTATCAAATAGTTGTGAGGTTGCAAGAATCCAAATGTTATAGGTCTGGTTTGAAGTCAACCACCGTTAAGTGCGTTAACATTGAACAAGTCAGAAATGTGCTGGACTGATCTCAGGTTCATCAGTTTCATGATAAGCTCTAAAACTGGAACTAAACAAAATCTTCACAAATTATTCAACCAGCTGCCTTAAAGCTTTCATGTCAACCTGTACAATTTAGCCCTACTTTGTACATCTTTTTGTTAAGATTTCTGAGTTGTATGGCCTCACAGGAGTTTGTCTGGTTTTTCACTGGATGGAGAAAAAACAAATGTTTGCACACAACATGTGTTTGAAAATGGCAGAGGAATAAATTTAATGTTGGCCAAAAGGAAGCTTAATTGCTGTTGATCCTTTCAAAATGACTTTGGCCCAAAGTTTAGGATCGAGGGCCATGTAAACATAGAATCTGAGAGAAGTTTCGAAATCAACAAGTGTCTACGTAATACAGCAGACCTGTTTACCCTCAAACTCTTAAAATCGTACACTATCATCACATAATCGTTCAATACATTCTCTTTACAGAAAAAAAACTGCAGTATATATAATGTATAAACCTCAAAATCGTACATTGTACGCAAAAATCGTAAGAGTAAACAGGTCTGATACAAACACAAGTGGCTTCGTCAGTTGGCCTGGAATCATCCATGCTTCATCAAGAGGATCATTGCAAGCATTTGGTAAAATTTATAAAACAAATTAATTTCAGTGTTTGCTTCAGGCTCTTATGAAATTTTAACATATTTTAAAACAACGCTGCTCGGACGAAACTTTGAGGCGAATCCAATCAAGAAGACAAAGTTTGCATGCATTTAGAACATTGATAACTAAATGAAGCAGTTACAACTTAGACTTTTTTGACGCTTCAGTTTTTCTGTACAGTTTTTCTTGCTGTTGTGCTTTTACAGTTGTTTTGATAATTTATCTTCTTTACAGGATTTGATCCCAAAGGTTGGCATGTATGCTTAAAAATAAATCTTGGTTTATTAGTGGCATTAGTTTAGTACCTACCAGTCTTAAATCCATTTCTTCAGTCCTCCCTTGACTTAAATCTTCCAAAGCAACTGTTTTAAACATTTCATAAGTTGGTCTAAAAATGTTCTGCGGAAAAAATTGTCAAAAGTTGATATGGTCTTTAGAATACAGGTAACTAATTTATTGGGAATAATCATTGTGTTTATTAATATGCTATTTAACAAGACACTTAAGTCTCAGAGTTCAAATCCCATTTTTTGAAAAGGCTTTGATATCTTTAGGTTTATTACCCACTTTATGAGATTTTGAAATCACCGGGAAAAAGTCTTTATATTATAGCCCAGTTTATCAGATTTGAAATCACTGGGTACAAGTCTTTAGACGAACAGATTAGTTTAGATAAGATACGATTCTGTCATTGAGCCAAATAAATGAAAAAAATTACATTGGACATATTCATTGTCAGATTATTGAATCAAAACTATGACAGGAAACATTGCACACACAACAATGTCAAGATCTAATTCTACACACCTGAATGGTGTGCCTCACATAGGTGTCGAGACATTCCTTTGGGTTGTTGGATGGTGCCAGGTAATTTATCAAGGACAATACCGTCTGCAGCAGAGACAGGAGGCATTCTGGGACACATAAATCTCACAACTTGTCTTACATTCAAACATTATTGGTGACATATGGCACAGATTATGGGAAACAATTATGAAATGAAATAGATTAAAACTACTGAAAAAATGCCCCACATAATACATCCAGCTATGTATAAATATGATAAAAGCTTAATTTGTATATGAATACAAGTACCATTTTATAGTTTATTAGTTTCTAAAAAAAAATTCTTTTAACCAAACACAATGTGTGCTTCCTTACCTAAAAAGTTTTGGTCTGCTATAAAGCTTTAAAATAGATTAATTAGACACCAACAATTTGTGTCAATATAAGAATATAATTTAAGCTTTAATAATAGTTATATATAATACATAAGTAAACGTTTCGACACATGCCTTCATCGGGACAATAACAAAACATTTAAATAAGTATAAATTAAATTTACATAATATATATATATACATATAGCCTACCTTAAAAATAATTTTTCAAAATAGGAGAGGGCGGAAAAACCAGACAAAAACAAAGTAAAGGAGAGAGGAAAGGAAGTGATTTGAACAAAAATTGTAAAAACCAAACAGGAAAGAGACATGGCAGCTAGGTAAAATTGTGGATTTGGTTCATCCCATATGGAGACAATGTACCAAATCTTGTTATGAATTTATTTTCCATGTAGATTCTATCTCTTGTGTTACTAGTATACAGTATATACATTACCTAAGCCTTCAATTGGACGATTCCCAGGAAATAGGTATTTCATTTGACTCAGTGCCTTACATGTCTGAGCTTTTAGAACTTGAAGAGATGAATGCAGAATGTCCAGCTGCCAATGGATTGAACACTAGAACATTAATGGTCATTGGAGACTTAACAGAACCCAAATAAAATCACCCGTACTTCTGGACTAATTTTTTTTAAAGTATATCTTCCCATGGGATATGACAAGTATTGACATCGCATGATAGATATGACAGTAATTTATATCTGATGGATATGACAGCTATTGACATCACTTGGATATGAAAATAACTGACATCAATTCACAATAATTATGTAAGGTAAAATGCTACTTTTACTGATACAATAACTCAACTCTAGATGCTTTGTTCTTTATTACTTACAGTAGGCTCAAAACCCTACAGTCTTCCTAAACACAACTAGCACAGCTCTTAAAATACACATTTTATAAAGTAACACAGTTCTTAAAATACACATTTTATAAACTAACACAGTTCTTAAAATACACATTCCATAAACTAACACAGTTCTTAAAATACACACATTATAAACTGAACTAATATCAATGAGAAAATAATGTAAACACATATTTTAAAATCACTGAATCTATTTTCTATCATATCAATAAACTGGTTGCGGTACCTCTTGCTTGACCATCACCAGAGATGTTTTGTTGCTAGGCAACATGTGTTGTATGGAGGCCACTAAACTGTTCATATAGGTCAGATGACCGACACTGGCACAGAACTCACTGGTCAAGCAATGCAGGAGACTTACTTTACGGTAAAGCTCTCCCTGGGAGAATAAATTATATTACTCATATTAATTTTTTTATTTAACAATTAAGACATTTGTTAAAATTCTCAATCTCATGTCGTACTCTTATAAAAAAATAATAAATTAAAAAAAATAAAATATAAAAAATCAATTTGAAGAAAGACGTTATTGAAATGAAACTCTACACAACAGAATTAGAGGTGAGCATCAACTGACTTTAAAAAAACTTATTTAAGGCTAATTATATGATAAAAAAATGTAAATAATAATAGCTTGAATGTTCACTGAAAAGACTTTCTTCCCAGGGTTCAGAATATGATTTTAAATACAATAAAACATGTTGTACTTACAATCCCATATCTTATTCCAATTATACAATAACACATGTACTTACAATCCCATGTCTTATTCCAATCATACAATAACACATGTACTTACAATCCTATATCTTATTCCAACTATACAATAACACATGTATGTACGATCCAATATCACATTCCAATTATACATTAACACATGTTGTACTTACAATGCCATATCTCATTCCAAATTCCAGTAAGAGACGACTTGATGCAGAAGAAAGGGGAGTGAAGCCAGTTGTGTTGGCCGAATTCTCGTCCTCTTGTCTGAACTGTCTCTCGTACCTGATACAGCCATAAATGATATACTAGTTAAATATTAACTTGAAACAAGTTCATATGTCCAGAAATGGCAAAATTATAGTTAATATCAAAGAAAATGTTTGAGTGTTCATTATCTAAGAGATCTGCAAATTAAATTCAGTAATATGGGGCAAGGGTGTTGAGAATAAATGATAAAGTGCAGAAATAAATATGTCTTAAGGCAAACATACATTTACTTTATGACAGTGTGCTTTAGTAGTCCACATGTTATTATTATAGGTTTTTTGACAGCAGGATCTGGCAGTAAACATTTACTCACTCTAGCAGTTTAGTCAGTAAAACGTGGTAGTCCTCATGAATTGTACTCAACTCTGAGATCAGATCTTGACTATATCCAGGGAAGGGGAGAGAAAGCTGCCAGAACTTATTTAGCAATTCTGAAATGTGGTTTCTCTCTTGTTTCTGCCACAGGTCATAACCGTTCTGTGTCTGTAAGAAAACATTCAAGAATTCCAGAGTTTTCTTTTTTATTAGGAAAAGCTCATTGTATTTATGAAATAAAAATATTGTTTAAAAACTTGACATCAAAGGTCACTTTGTTGAATCTTAGTTAAACTGTGTTTATTTATGCTTAAATCAGTGTGAGCTCTGTATAAATGTCTTTATTATAAGGTCAGCCCTTAAAAAAAAAACGTGTTTTTGGTAGTAAACCTTATGTTCAACTCACTATAAAGTGTGATGGGGAATAAAATGGATGGCTGTTGGTTTCCAATAATATCAATTGTCCTGACAGCTCTTCAGCAAGGAGCTAGTGGAATAAGTGGAGAGATGCATTCAAGTAAGAATCAATATATTTATTTTACTTTAGCCGACTAAGTGATCAACAGCTGCAGTTACCATTTCTCAAAACAACTTTAGTCATCAAACTCTAGCAGACTAAGTGATCAACAGCAATAGTTACTTATGTTTTCACATGTAAAAATTAACCCTTGTTTGAAGTGACTTTCTGGTGGGGCACCCTCACCCATCAATAATTTAAACAAAATCTTATTTCATGAGCAGTGAACGTTAGTTTGCATAGATTCAGCCTAAAGACAATTTGATCTTTTCAAGACACATCTGAACTTTGACCTAAATCGTATCAGCCCCAAGCCTCTTGACTCAACATTGAAGTGTTTACCTTCAAATGATAACTTCCCATCTTAAAAAAAAACTCAGTTGAGTAAACAGCTAATGGGGAAATTTAAAGGGAAGAAATAAACGAATATAGCTTTGATCTGAACACAGAAGTAATGATGTGCATCATGTTAAAACTGGGCCAAAGTCTCATTGAAATCAGACCACTCGAACAGCTGTAACTTAAAACAGATGAACTGTTCAGTAATAAAGGTGAGAAGACGAAGATACATAAATTGTTTGTGTAAGAGCGAAGAAGTTAAGATTTTGAATGGAAGACTTATTTTATTGGATGCAGTGAACAATGCTAACAATGTGGTAAAAGTTACAGATGGGGTCAAACATTTTTCTGTCTTTTAACAGCAGTAGCAAACAACCTCTGTCCAATGTCATCACTTGATGGAGTTGAAGCAACACAAATTTAGAAAACCAATATGGCATGTGGTTGTGCGGGTACTTATAACAACATTGTGGAATACATAGAAATGTATGAGGACCATTGACAACTGACCCAGGCCACAGGCACTGGACAATCATGGAACACATTACACAAGTTGATAGTTGTTTAAAGGGCTCTTTATCTCAAAAACTTTATCTCAATCACATCTTACCAACATTTTCAATATCAGAACCGTATTATGTAATCTATTCTTGTTACAGTCGGTAACTCGTTCATGTCTTGGATTAGATTGTGTAATAATTTTATTCTTAACGTTTTTAAATGGACCATCTGTGTCTCAACGGTCTGGTGATAGGAGCAGAGCAATTACTTCTCTTACAATATGTTTGAATAATAATTTTGGAGAGAAAAAAAAATTAGGTGGGAAAAAGGGACGACACAAAAAGGGTGGGGAAAGGGTGGGGAAAGGGTGGGATAAAGGGGCTTGGGCCATTCAGATCAGTGTCTATTATTCACAAGTCATACCAAAAATTGCATTCTAAAAATTTTTCAAAGTTCCTCCAAAATAAAATATTTTTTAAAAATGCACAAAATCAATACAAAAAGAAAAAGCAAAAGTAATTCCAGGAATGTTGTTGCTTTCAAGGAAGCCAGAATGTGTCTGTAGCACTCTCTTTAATTGCAATGTGCACTTGTGCCAAGCAACACATGAATGAACTATCCAACACTAAAATCTAATACATGTCAGGTTGTAAAGTTCAGGTTGTAAACTTCGGTACCTGTAGGTAAAACTGAGACATACCCTATGCTAACAGGTAAAACTGAGACATACCCTATGCTAACAGGTAAAATTGAGATATACCCTATGCTAACAGGTAAAATTGAGACATACCTTCTGCAAATGAGTAAAACTAAGACGTACCATCTGTGAAGATTTCTTGGCATAAGCTTTGACCAAGAGGGCTTCGTACTGTCTGAATACGGCCTTGCTGAGCCCAAACGCGCGCTGCAGCTGTTCACAAATGGACTCCATCGGTATAAAGCCAGTTTCATCAGCCTCTTCAACTCCGCTGTCGTGGAGGGAGTAAGGAGTAACAGAGCGGGACCTTGATCGCGACGGCGGGATGCTTTCTGGGAAATTTCTAGAAATGCTCCCTCGGAAAGTTTCAGAAGCAATGAACCTGAGAGAATCTAGCATTTCAGGGGAGGGGGTGGTGGGCGGGTCTGGTGCTGCTAGCACAGGATACACAGCACACAGATAAGCATGTTTGAAGGTTCTCAAAGACTGAAATAAAGGACATTGAAAACTTTACTAAAATTGCTAATTTCAGTGAATAGTCAAATTAAGAAAGGGGGTGAAATTATGTCATATCTCGCATCCTAAGGGGGAATGTAACCCCACCCCCCATATAGACTATTCATAAAATCATAAAAAAGAATTTAAATGAAACGAGAACTAAACACATGACTACAAATTATGTCAAAAAGGCAAAAACCATTGTATTTTGTTTTAGTTTCTTTTTTTTTATATTAGAATTGTCTTTATTAAAATGAGTTTCATTTTATGAGTTGGTTAACTGATTTAAGGAGTGAGTTTGTATCTTTTTTAACAGAGAACATTTCTAACCAATCTGGAAGCAGAGAACATTTCTAACCAATCTACAAGCAGAGAGCATTTCTAACCAATCAACAAGCACAGAACATTTCTAACCAATCTGGAAGCAGATAACATTTCTAACCAATCAACAAGCAGAGAACATTTCTAACCAATCAACAAGCAGAGAAAATTTCTAACCAGTCAACAAGCAGAAAACATTTCTAACCAATCAACAAGCAGAGAACATTTCTAACCAATCAACATGAAGACAACATTTCTAACCAATCAACAAGCAGAGAACATGTCTAGCCTACAAGCTCTTACGTTTAATGAGATCAAATTTACCTTATTATCAAGGATGTTTATAGAAATAGCAGGCTGCTTGTTCTTGGAACTACCTAGAAAAGACAGAGACAATCTTTTCAAGGATGAAATCAATGTAATTTGAGAAGCTAAAAATAGATATCTGTTTAAAAGAAATGGGTTCGATTACTTCAGTTATTCTAAAGTACGAGGCAATTACCATCATCTGCAGGCACTGAGGTAGGTAACACCCGCATAGAGTTGAACGTGCTCCTGCGGCAGGCCAGGTGAAGACAGCATTTTCTAGACCTAGAGACAATAGAAATACATATTTTTTTACAACGGCTCCACTATCATTGTGAGGAATATTTTGTGTCCAAAAAAAAAAAAGAAAATCTAACAGAAGCCACACAATTGAAGAGATGTTTACTAAATATAGTTCAATAAATAATGGTATGACTTTACTTTTTTTAACAAGCATTATAAGTTCTGAGGGATTAAAGGTGATCTTTCAGCATGACTTATGTAAAATTGTCCACAAAGATGATGTAACAAAGCAGATACTTACTCTAGCTGGCTGAAATAACCATGGATTTTTGAAAGGCACGTGCTCTGACTTTTGAAAGAGAAAAATGCAGGTTGGTTACAGCTTGCCATGCAGAAACAGCCAAGTAAAAACATGCAGGTTGAGATATAGGTGTGTGTGTGTGTGTGTTTGTTGGTACTTGAATATTTGTTTCAAGCAACTATAACAAAATATGCTATTGTTATGGCCAGATAACACTTAAATTTATTCATGAATTTGACACTCAGTAATTAATATGGAATTTACACTTAGTATTTAATATGGAATTTACCCATAGTATTTAATATGGAATTTACCCTAAGAATTTAATATGGAATTTACTCTTAGTATTTCAAATGGAATTTACCCTTAGTATTTATTATGGAATTTACCCTTAGTATTTAATATGGAATTTACCCTAAGAATTTAATATGGAATTTACCCTTAGTATTTATTATGGAATTTACCCTTAGTATTTAACATGGATTTTACACTTAGTATTTTACATGGCGTTTACACTAAATATTTTAACATGGAGTTTAAACTTAGTATTTTAACACAGAGTTTACACCTAATATTTTACATGGAGTTTACACTTAGTATTTAAACATGGAGTTTACACTCAGTATTTTAACATGGAGCTTACACTAGTATTTTAACATGGAGTTTACACAGTTTTTTCCATGGAGTCTACACTTAATACATATTGAAAAATATAATAGAATTTAGTATTATCTTTCTGTTGGCTGTCGAGATTAGTATGCTGTTAAGGGAAAAAGTAATTCTCACAGTAAGCTAGCAACAAATACAATTTGTATAAAAAAGAATTTACCCAAGTAGCATTGAGCCAAGGTCTTGGTCGCTTCCTTCATGTGATCCTTGACCTGATAAGTTTGCAAGGTCTCCCACAGACCAGTGGCGTTCCTCTGAGTCCTTTAAACATTTTGTAATTGTTTCTGGCTTTAACTGGGTAACCGAGCTATGTGTGGAGAACATGCCCTGCAAAAACAAACAAATAAGTGGAAATATAAAGATACCTATTTTAAATTCTCTGCCTACATCCAGAGGAAATCACTATTTCTTGTATTGTCAGGCTGTAAGTTTCATAACCAGAATAAAAGCATTCAAGAGGAGCACAATGAGAAACCTTTATTGGCATGTAACTGGCAAGTAAACTAGTGCACACATTATAGAAGTGAATTATGGGCCAACTGATTCCATGAACTAGTGCACACATTATAGAAGTGAATTGTGGGCCACCTGATTCAATGATCTAGTGCACACATTATAGAAGTGCATTGTGGGCCAACTGATTCCATGAACTAGTGCAACAATTATAGAAGTGAATTGTAGGCAAACTGATTCCATGAACTAGTGCACACATTATAGATGTGAATCCACCTGATTCCATGAACTAGTGCACACATTATAGAAATGAATTGTAGGCCAACTGATTCCATGAACTAGTGCATACATTATAGAAGTGAATTATGGGCCAACAGCTTCCATGAACTAGTGCACACATTATAGAAGTGAATTGTAGGCCAACTGATTCCATGAACTAGTGCAACCATTATAGAAGTGAACTGTAGGCCAACTGATTCCATGAACTAATGCACACATAGAAGTGAATTGTAGGCCAACTGATTCCATGAACTAGTGCACACATTATAGAAGTGAATTGTAGGCCAACTGATTCCATGAACTAGTGCACAATTTATAGAAGTGAATTGTGGGCCAACAGCTTCCATAAAGTATAAACTCTTTTAATTTGGTCAAGTACTCTTTCTGACTGCTTAATTATAATAGTTCATGAGCCAAGCACATGAACAAAATCAGCCAGATAAAGCCTTCTGGCTGTGTGTGAAGATATTCAAATTGCTTAGAACTTAGACTAAAACTAAAAATTTAAAGCTTGAACACAGTTAAACACAACTAAACACAACTAAGCATACACGCTTTTTTCAAGGAAGGACTCAGAAAGGGAAGAAAAACATCCGTACAATAACTTCTGTTTATAAGGCTGATTCTTGGTCTTTGCTACATTTGAATTTCCATAAGGCGAAATCAGATGAATATATGCATGAAACTGATTGCCATGCAAATATTATTCATAAGGAAATTGTCACGAATATGAAGTGTATTGGTATTCATAGTTAATCCCTCAAAGCTATGTCACAACAAGTACATAGAGAAGGCAAAATAAAATAATGGAACAAAGTTTGATACAAATAGAATTATTTTTTTTGTCTTATTCACTTGCACAACCAATAAGTACAAAATTTTTAAGTCTTATTGAATAGATTATGTCATTTAAAATTGAAAAAAGACACACAAACTGCCTATTACCTAGTTATCAGTTACTGATTGTGACAAAAATCTCTTTTAATTTAATAGCATTTAAAGTTTTGAAAAAACATGTTATAGTAATTTCAGCTTATATATACCGGTACTGAAATGAATTTAAATGATTAGTTTGATAAATAAAATGTCACGAGTGGAGCAAGTGACGGCAACCTTAGTTAGTCCTCCATGGAAGAAATGAATAGGAGCAGAAGCTTATGCAAGAGCTCACTCGCTTCACCATTCAGAAATATCAAACAAGAATAATGCAACTGTGCATTGAAAGATATCTTTATCTCAAGTGATTAAAGAATGCATCACACACCAGGTGACAGCATGAACTCTGACCTGATCAAATGACATTTTGGATAGGAGTTTAAAAGAACAAGCCCTTCAAAAGATAAGTAGCGATAATAAAGTTGTATCCCCCCTTTAACTTTAAGCTGACCGGATTATCTTTGCATAAATGACCATATTCTTCAAGCTACCCTCTTGGTAGTTTGTACATCTATGAAATCTTTAAAAAAAAATTTAATCTAGTGATACCCAAACAGTGATCTTCAGAACATTTTAAACCTTTATATTAAATTTATTATATATCTCATACCCTTTTTTTTAAAGAGTCATTGATGAAGTGTGGGGACAGGAGAATTTTCGGAGTCTTCAAGAACAATAGAAATGGAAACAATGTGAATCATTATGATATCCATGAAAATGTTATACAAAACACCAGAGCCAAGGCTGTAAATGCAGACAAATAAAATTGAGAAGACACTATCTTACAGTCCAATACACACGATCGTCTTGTTTGATTCTATGCCTTTTGCAGGAAAGTAAAACGACACATGTGTAATCATATTTTGATATTGACAGTGAAATAATGAAGTGTGATGTCATGATCACAAATACCGATATCTCTTCCTGATAAGCTTCTTTAGAGACAGAGAGATAGATGATAATTATCATTGAAGCATGCCCAAACAATAGTTTGTTGGTACTTTTGATAGTAATGAAAAGATGAACAAGCCACATCAAAGGATGGTAACAACAAGTTATCACAGTTAATGCTCTTGTCTTTACAGGGATGTGCAAACATTTTGGACTGTCTGGTGTCACATATGCACCATTCGGTAGTTTACATACAAGTTTACCACAGCTGATTAAGTAGTTTACGTACAAGTTAACCACAAATGATTAAGTAGTTTACAAACAAGTTTACCACAACTGATTAAGTTTTACCTTTGAACAAGTCAAAGATCTCCAACATGAGTTAATCTATAGCTGAAAGCTGTCAGTGCTGGGTTTGAGTGCTGCTTCTCAAGACAAGAAAGAGCAGGCTTTAGGGGTCAGTGTCATGTTTGTGTCGCCAATGCTTTGGTTCCCAGAACAGGATTTCATGGCACGAAAGCTGTCTAATTAATTCCTATAGTGCTTTACATAAGAAAAAATAATATAATGGTAAATAATAGAAAATGTGTATTTATTCTATGCTACATTTAATAAGATTGCAACCAGCGTCACTAGCAGGAAATTCAATGTCTCTGCCCACAGAATGTATCACTCATTCAATTTAACCTTCTTTGCATATTTGTTATGAGCAGACATTTAAAATTATTGAATCATGTTTATTTTCAAGAAACGGTTTACCTTAACTTAATCTTATCTTCTGAACATAGAAACAGATTTTTAAACACAAGTGATAGAAGAGCATACATGCCAGTGTGCGGGTTAAAAAAGTAATGTACAAAAGGTCCAAAAAAAATGTACAACAGCGTTAAAAAATTGTACAGAAAAAAATGAAAAGTCTAAAAAAAAGTACAATTTATGACTTTTTAATTATTTTAACAATGCTTGAATAAAAAATGAATAGTCTCCCCTTCACCAGTGTGCAAATTTTAGCATGCATACATCATTCAAAAATGGCTTGATCTCATCTTTTAAATGAAAATAGCTTGTATTAAGAAACATTTTAGTAAAATTTTAAGTTTTTTCCCTGGTCAATAGAAGTTTTGTTGTTAAAGGGCCTGAGACGAATTTGATAGCAATTTAGATGTCATTGGACTTAAATCTTTGGTTAATTATGCAAGCTGTAGTAATAAAGATTCCAGTATTTAAATTAACCAAGGAAAAATTTCAACCATCTTGACCAAGTTGTTGAGTTTATCGTCACCTTATAACATTTTATTCACATGATGAAAAATGATGATAGAAATTTTTGTTGTTTTTTACTGTAAGTGCGATGAGGATATAAATTATTGTTAACTGGAAGTTTCCAGACCATGGAGGCGGAAAGTCTTAGATCAATCAAAATGGAGGGATGTGGTGGGGCAGGCCAGGGACCTACATGGGCTGAGGTGCTACTTATGTGGTGGGGCAGGCCAGGGCCCTACATGGGCTGAGGTGCTACTTATGTGGTGGGGCAGGCCAGGGCCCTACATGAACGCTAGTGCCACTCAAGTGGTGGAGTAGGCCAGGGCCCTACATGGGCTGAGGTGCCACTTATGTGGTGGGGCAGGTTAGGGCCCTACATGGGCTGAGGTGCCACTTATGTGGTGGGGCAGGCCAGGGCCCTACATGGGCTGAGGTGCTACTTCTGTGGTGGGGCAGGCCAGGGCCCTATATGGGCTGAGGTGCTACTTATGTGGTGGGGCAGGCCAGGGCCCTACATGAACGCTAGTGCCACTCAAGTGGTGGAGTAGGCCAGGGCCCTACATGAGCTGAGGTGCCACTTATGTGGTGAGGTAGGCTAGGGCCCTATATGGGCTGAGGTGCCATTTATGTGGTAGAGCACGCCAGGGCCCTACATGGGATGAGATGCCACTTATGTGGTGAGGTAGGCTAGGGCCCTACATGGGCTGAGGTGCCATTTATGTGGTAGAGCAGGCCAGGGCCCTACATGGGATGAGATGCCACTTATGTGGTGAGGTAGGCTAGGGCCCTATATGGGCTGAGGTGCCATTTATGTGGTAGAGCAGGCCAGGGCCCCACATGGGATGAGATGCCACTTATGTGGTGAGGTAGGCTAGGGCCCTATATGGGCTGAGGTGCCATTTATGTGGTAGAGCAGGCCAGGGCCCTACATGGGATGAGATGCCACTTATGTGGTAGAGCAGGCCAGGGCCCTATAAGGGCTGAGGTGCCACTTATGTGGTGGGGCAGGCCCAGGGCCCTACATGGGCTGAGGTGCTACTTATGTGGTGGGGCAGGCCAGGGCCCTACATGGGCTGAGGTGCCACTTATGTGGTGGGGCAGCCGAGGGCCCTATATGAGATGAGATGCAACTAATGCGGTGGGGCAGGCCAGGACCCTACATGGGCTGTAGCACCACTGATATGATGGAGCATGGAATGTAGTGCCACTCATGTGATGGGGCAGAAAAGGCCCCATATGGCCTGTAGTGCCACTGATGTAGTGGAGCAGGCCAGGGCCCTACATAAGCTATAATACCACTGTTATTGGTAGTTGTAATTTGTATGGGTAGCTTTGATTTGCAACAACGCTTCTCAACCTGTCGATCATGACCCCTTTGGGGATCAACCGACCCTTACACAGGGGTTGCCTAAAACCATTCGGAAAACACATATTTATGAAAAAGCAAAAAAACAATTTTATCTTTGGGGGTCACTACAACATGAGGAACTGTATTTAACGGTTGTGGCATTAGGAAGGTTGAGAACCACTGATTTGAAGGCTACATATTTTAGCAATTATCAGTGTGCACAAGCATGTTGCAGCAATGTTGCAATTTTTTCATTTTATTTTTTATTTTATTATTATGTAGGGTATGGAAAAAAATAAGAATTTCAGTTGTAAATGGATTTGATTTATACTGGGTAACCTCAAAATAATTTAAGGAAACATAAATAATAGAAATAAGGAAGGTCCTTTAATATCTACATTGTGATTAGACCTTGTCACTTATCTGGCATAGTTAAACAACAAAACACAATCTTACAAGAACACCACAACTCCATGTTACTTTTCTTTAAAGTGTGCATCTTTCAACTATCAAATTGTTCATGAGGATTAAACAGAAAGTACTGTGGTAACATTATATTTTTTTGTAGGATTATGCATGAAACAGGTCACTGTATAGACCCAGAGCGATTTAAATACCACGTTTATTTTGTTAAAGAAATTTATTTCAATTATGTCCAGATTGAAATATCTTTAAAATGGATTGGAGTAGTTTAAAAATTCTCTTTAATTAATTTTTTTTTAAATTGTAGATATAAAAGCTTCGATGTGCTACTATCAACTTTAATTATTTTGTTAAAGCCCTATAGAGGGGTTTAGTTTGAATAATTTTACAAACATATGTGTCCAGCTTCCTTCATAAAAACCAACACACATAAAGGGCTAAAATATAACAAAAACTTGGCTAGTTATGTACTTCCTTTATGCTTCTAATATTTTGAATGGGAAAAACATGGTTGACAATTGTATCAATTTATTCATTGTTTTTTGACGCAAGTGATAAATGGCAGTCGCAGAATTAATGCTTGATAAAAGCTTTCAATGTTACAGTCCATGTTGTGTACTGCAGTGTAACAAAACTGAACATCTACAAAACACTCAACTTTTAGAGCTAAATGGTTTATGACAACATAGTGCTACTCATTATTAAGGTTCATGGTGTCATTATGTTTATTTTTCACATTTACATATCACATTAATGAATTTGTGCATTATAACTTTTTTAGAAATATAATTATTGGTGTCAGGCGAATGACCACTATATACATGGCTCATTTTCACTTAGCTGCAATTTGCATAGTTTTAAAAATTAATTTTAATAAACAGTCAGTAAGCATACAGTAAACTTTTAAATAATTCCAATTATTAATTTGAAGGGTAGAGAAATTGTGCTAATCCTATGGTATTGTGCCCTAAAAATTATTAATGCTTAAGCCCTAGTTTTAAAAGTTTCAATTAGCAACAGATGGCAGTGACCCAATATGACAGAAGCCCCAAAAAAGGAAGAAAATTGGAAATTTCAGACAGCAACTAGATGTGACAGGTCATCCTTGGATAATGACATGATGACTCATCTAGGAGAAAGAAAAGTCCAATTGCAAACCACTGCTGTTATAGGCTAAGCAAGCTGGCAGTGGAAACTTTTTTACACATACACTAAAATATAGCCAAACTTACAAGATTTTTTTCTTCAAAAAGTATAAATCCTTATACCACCCGATCCAATAATTGTATAATTCAATGCAACTATTGCCCCCCCCCCCCCTTCAAAAAAAAAAGGTCTTGTGATCATATCACAAGACAGGTGTACAACATGAAGATGAGTCTAAGAAATATGTGAAGACAAGATTTTTTTTTTCAAAAAGTATAAACCCTTATACCCCCCCCTCCAAAAATTGTATAATTCAATGCAACCATTGCCCCCCCCCCCCCTTCAAAAAAAAAAGGTCTTGTGATCATATCACAAGACAGGTGTACAACATGAAGATGAGTCTAAGAAATATGTGAAGACTGGGCCTGGTGGACCAAATAGAAGAGATCCTTACATGTTCCAGTGGGTTGAAAATTTTCAGAATTGTCTCAAATCCCACAAAGATCCCAAAACATGTGTCTCCCATATGCAGACACAAATAGGCCTGGCAAGCCACACGCCCTTCTGAACTTCATCTCATGAAACTGTCTAAGGCATTGCTTTCCAAACTGTATGTCTCGACACAATAGTAAGTTACCTTCAAGCTGTAGGGTTGTCACCCAATAATATCATCATCAGTGGCGCTGCAGCCCATGTATGGCCCTGGCTCCATCACATCATTCCATTTGGATTGATCCATGGCTTTCTGCCTCCATGCGCAAACCCCGAACTGGTGCAAGTCCTTCTCTACATTGTCGATCCATCTCAGTGTTATCAACCAGTCAGCCGTCTGCCTCTAGGTTTCTCCTTGTATATCACTTTTGCTGCTCTATAATCCGGCATCCTTTCAATACGTCCTGTTCAGTGCATTCTGGCTTTTTTATTGTTGCAACTATGGGTGGGTCTTTGTCTCCCAAAATAAGCCATACCAAACCAACATTTATACATTTTTAGGACATCAAAGAAGCCGATCAAAGTGGTTTGTATACATGTATTCATAAGGATCAAATCAGATTTTAACTCTTGCACATATTTTCTTATTAGTACATGTGGTCATAAATAATCACATGAATTTTATATATCGTTTTTATATTATTATTTAAAAAATTAATATAATTTTTTTTTAAATAAAGGAAAAATTTTAAGATTTTCATGAGATAATTTTTTTCCACCTTACAATACAATTACGTTTTTAAGCTTTATTTACTTTTATGACCATATGTTTTTAAATGGGTTAGTTTAGTCTACGGTGTAGACGACACTGGTAAAATTGGCTAACTAACGTGCTCAACTGAAACGCATCCTGAAATGTTTGCCATATACTATAGTAAATAGGCCTAGGCTTATTTAAATTATGAATTGAAAATGTCTACCAAGTGTCACCAGAGTCACCGACATGAAATTTTTGGAAGGCACTGGGTCTGGGCAAAAAGTTCAGTGAACTAAAAAAAGTTAAGAACCCCTGGCCTAGTAGCATTAGTAGTTAACAAGAAATTTTGATATTTTAATTAAATATAATATAATGTATAAGCTATATTATTTTAAATTTTAGTACTTTTAATTTTAGCTTACTCATAGCCTACTTATTATGGGTTTCAAAAAATATTTTTAAAATATTATTGTTGCATTTATAAGACAAAATTAGGTATCAAACGAAAGATAATTAAAGGGACTAAATGTATGTAAACTTCCTTTTTCAGTTTAACTTAAATAAACTACCACAGATGACATCCAAATATCCATTTATTCTAGAGTAGGGTGACCAAATCATGAACAGGAAAAAATTGGACAAACTCAAGGAGGGTTGGGGGGGGGGGATACCCGCCAGCTAAAGAGGGATATGGGGGCCTTTGCCAGAAACTGTTGACTGAAATATGCTCATTTTAACTATTTTGAGACCTAGAATTAGACATCTTTTTAAATTTACCTTCACTTTTGTAATTTAATTTAATCTCTGAGGCATATCATAAACAAAAACAATAATTTTGCAGTGAATACTTATTTATTTGTATCTACATATTCTACAACATAATTTAACACAATAAATTAAATTTCTCTAGTCTAGGATTTAAATTGAGGATATTTGGTTGTTGTCCCAGCCATTGTTAAAACCTCATTCTTATCTAATATGTGAAGATGTGTTTAGAAACAGGACATTTAGGCATCCCTATACACCTTGTAGGATTGTGGAAAAAAAGGGACAATCACGTTTTTTATGGAATGTTTGGTCACCCTAGTCTTAAAGGGACCAGGGTCCCAATAGATAGTCGATAACAGCTTTTTTTAATTATTTTTTTTACAATAGTCAATAGTAATGGTAATAGTAACAGTTTAATTAATGTATAATTTTCAAATATATATATATGTGGAGCGGAATTCGTTACTAAAAAATGACATACGCATAGTAAAATTTCTCCACTACTATAACTTCATGTTTTTTCTGGACTTTCTTTCTTCCTCTTTTTATATCTGTCAAAGCAGATCATGAAAGTTGACTTCAAATTTCCAGTTGGCCTAACTACTCATATTTGTTTATATTATTAAATGAAGGGGTAATCCTTTTACCAAAATAATCTATCAATCCGAGATGTACACATTTTTAAGTAAAAGCACAACTATAATTATAATATATTAAAATTTTTGGTAATCACAATTACAGTGACTGTTTGGTGTATATTTTAAAAAATAATTTGCCAAACATAAGCAAAAACATTTTTTTTAAATTAATTAAACTACCAGGTAATTTTGGAGCTTTATTTAAAGGAATATGGCTACTATGTATTGACGTTGCTAGGGTTGCCGTCACCCGGTGCGGTAAACTGATGGTGCAATCCTCCTTCCCCCGACTACCACGATGGATTTCTTTTTGTTAAAATAAGTTCACAGTATAACAATGACAAGAACAAAAACAAATTAATTGAAGGTCAGAAGGTAAATGCATTTAAGAACTGTAAAATTTCTTTAAAATCACCGAATCACCCTACGACATCGTATTTGGTATCAAAATCAATGTAAAGCTTTATTTCTTAGAATTTAGATAAATAGGCTTCTATCTTCCTGTCACTTAATAAACTAAAGTTACCGAACACTTTAATCGGCGTTGAATCATGGTCAAAGTGGTGTTTTTCTGACCTAATTATAGGCTCACCTCATGTCTGACTCATAAACCTTGAACGCATAAAGCACGCATTTTGGGTTAGTTTCATATGTGGAACATTTTTGTGTGACTGGTTATCCTTTTATAAAAAAATTTGGTTATAACGAGCAATTGTGTGCTCTGTAAATATTCAATTTTTCAATTGGTGTCACCCCCGAGATAGAGTCACCCGATGTGGTCTGCACCCCCTAGCTACGCCAATGATGACTAATCTCACCTTCTCTGAAGGCGAAGGAGAATTTTAGGTAAAACGTTCTTTATTCAAGTATTCAGCTTCATTGTACTAACCTCATTAACAATTTATTTACTTATGCTTATCGAAGTACAATGCTCTTGATTTTCCATAGATGTGGATAACAGCTTTTCCATACCTGTTTCTTCAAGTCCAACAACTCCCTTTAACAACATTGGTCAATGACTTGCCGGAGGTATTGCATTACCAAACGAACAACTTTTAGACCCGAGGGGGGCAACGAACAACTTTTAGACCCGAGGAGGGGAACGAACAACTTTTAGACCCGAGGGGGGCAACGAACAACTTTTAGACCCGAGGGGGGCAACGAACAACTTTTAGACCCGAGGGGGGCAACGAACAACTTTTAGACCCGAGGGGGGCAACGAACAACTTTTAGACCCGAGGGGGG